CTGGGTCCTGAGGACACCTGTCCCTGGGCACCGGCGCATGCACAAGCAGCTGCCCCATCCCCACTGCTCCGTACCTGATGATGCAAATTAGCTCACCATCTTTGTTGGGTTAATTTGCATACTCCTGATTGGCTTGTGGGTGTCTTGTAGGTATGGTCAATTTGCATATTTCTCTTTTATTAGTGTAGATACTTGGCATACAATAACATCACATATTTCAAGTATATGATTTGACAAATTTTGACATGCATCACCCACAATCAGGATAATGAACATACTGGTATCTATCCCTCCCCCACAATTTTCCTTGGCTTCTTTATAATTCCACTCTCTGACCCCTCTCCCCCACCCCCCTTCCAGTCCCTAGGAGACTACTGCTCTCCTTTCCATCAATATAGATTACTTCACCGTTTCTAGAATTTTATGTAAGTGGAATCACATAACATGTCCTTTTTGGTCTGGTTGTTTTCACTCAGCATGATTATTTTGAGATTCACCCATGCTGTTGCACATATCATAGTTCATTCCTTTTATTACTGAAGCACTATTTCATTGTGTGGATATACCACGGTTTTCCACTCACTTGTTGAAAGGACATTGGGGTTTTTACAGTTTCTGCTCGTTACAAAGTTGCTGTGAATATTAATTTACAAGTCTAGTGGAATGACTGGACCATATGGCAGGTGTATACTTCACTTTTTAAGAAGCTATTAAATCATTTTCCAAAGTGGTTGGGCTATTTTACATCGCTACCAGCTGTACAGAGAGTTAGCGTTCTGCCACACATTCCTGATCTGGTGTGGTCACTCCTTTTATTTTAGCTATTTTAGTGCATGTGCAGGCCGTCTCATTCATTTCCCATGATTAATGATGCTGAACATCTGTGCATGTGCTTATTTGCCCTCTGTAACTCATCTTTGGGGATATGTTTGTTCAAATATTTGCCCAACTTTTCCCCCTCCCTTTTCATTAGTAGGCTTTGAGAATTCCTTATCAGTTTTGAATACAAGTTCTTTGTCACAAGACACTTTTAAGAAATAAAAAGATAAGCTCTGGACTAGGAGAAAATCTGTGTGAATTATGTATCTGACAAAGAGTCTTAAAAAAACAAATGTTTTTAATTTTATGAAATCCAATTTATTGATTTGTTCTTTTATGGATGCTTTTGGGAAAACTTTTGCCCACTTGTCTCAAAGGTCTAAAAGGTTTCCAGTAGTTATTTTTTCCTCCAGACTTGATGGTTCTGGATATTACATTTAAATCTGGCATGCACTTGGAATTAATATTTGTAAATAGTATTGCCAAGTATAACTAAAAAAATCACTGTTTTATGTAAATGGATATCCAATTATTCCGCAACTATTTGTTGAAAGAACTTGCTTTTCCCCCACTTCATTACATTTATATCTTTGTCAAAAATCAGTCTTCCATATGTGTGTGGGTCTGTAAGTTTTTACAAAAAAGTCTACTAGGATATTGATTGGGATTGTGTTGAACCTATAGATGATTTTGGGGAGGAATTGACATCTTAATATTGATTCTTCAGAGTCATACACATGGTATGTAGTTGGTAATATCTCTCCTATTTAGATTTATTTTAAATTTTTCTAATTAAAACAAAAAAAAATTTTTTTTTAAATTGAGTTTTGGAGCAAGAAATACTGATTGGCTGCCTTCCGCAACCTCCTCCTGGGGAGTAAAGCTCTGCGGCCCTGGCCTGTGCCCTGACTGGGAATTGAACTGGCAACCCTTTGGTGCCCAGGATGACACTCAGCCACCTGAACCACATGGTCACGGCTCTAATGAAAACTTTTCCACATCTAGTCCTTCACATCTTTTGTCAGATTCATACCTAGTTTATGTTCTTATGCAGCTAGAAATGGTTTTTAAATTTCAGTTTCTGATTGTAATGGTCAGTACATAAAAAGAAATACAATTGATTTTTATATATAGTCTGCAACCTTGCTAAGATCACATATGAGCTCTGATAGCTTTTTGTAATGTTTGTGAAGAACAGGAGAGGGCTTGTTTATTGAATTGTGCCCCCTCTGCACTGTACCACCTGTGGTACTTCCTAACTAGTGGTTACTTGGATGTGTGAATGAGTGTGTCTGAGCAGACAAGTTATAGGGACAAGGGATTGTAAGAAAGATTAATAGTTTTAGGACAGACTGGAGGCTTAGGAGGTGCTTATAGTACACCAGGCATATATTAATTCATTGGACTCAATCAATGCTTATTGAGCTTAAGTAAGAACCCTTCACTAGATGTTGGGAATAGATGCACCTGTGGAAATAATCATAATCTGCCTCTGTTCTTACACTGTCTGAAAAAGTGGCGTGGAGAGCGGGGCTTTCCGGAAGAGCTGGGGAGCTGGGCGGAGGTGCTGTGCCGGTCATTTCAGTTACTAGTATTAATGAGGAACTGGCACGGAGAGTGAAGAACGGTGCTGGAGGACACCTTAGTAAGTGTTGGAGCCAGACTTCAAACCTGGGCGGTTCTATTCTTCCCCTAATATATTTCTTTAAGTCTGTCTACTCACTTATTTAATACATTGTTTCTTTTGTAAGGAAACTAATCTATATCTATACTAATAAAAGTGTAATATGCTAATTAGACTGGACATCTTCCAGACATCCTTCCAGCCGTCTTTCCGGACAAAGTCACAGTGGTGGGGGCCAAGGCAGAGGCTGTTAGGGTTGACCAGGCCAGCAGGGGAGGGCAGTTAGGGACGACCAGGTCGGCAGGCAGAGTGGTTAGGGGTGAGCAGGTAGACAGGCAGGTGAGTGGTTAGGAGCCAGTGGTCCCGGATTGCGAGAGGGATGTCTGATGGGATTTTTAAACCCAATCTTTGCCCCATGTTGAGTTTTTTTTTTGTTTGTTTGTTTTTTTTTAAATTTTATTGATTTTTCACAGAGAGGAAAGGAGAGGGATAAAAAGTTAGAAACATCGATGAGAGAGAATCATCAATCAGCTGCCTCTTGCACACTCCCTACTGGGTATGTGCCCGCAACCAAGGTACATGCCCTTGACTGGAATCGAACCCGGGATCTTTCAGTCCACAAGCTGACGCTCTATCCATTGAGCCAAACTGGTTTCGGCGGGTAAGGGCTTTCTTGCTTTTAAAACATTGAGTAGAATTTGCTACAAAAATGTCTGAGGCATTAGGCAAAATAAAGGGGCAATGTGCAGAAAAGTTTAGTTGGTGAAAATCCCTGTTAGGAACCACATATACAATCATATTTGTGAGTACCTAGTTAATGTGGAAAAATATTTCATAACTGAGAATTTAAAAAAGTTTGAAAAAATTGAGCAGTAGGTCTCTCTGTTTACTCATTTGGTATATAATGGATTACACTGCACTCTTATTTTAACCATCTTCTAAGTATTGTAATATTTCTGAAAACAGGCATATTTACTTTTCCCTGAACACAGTGAACTGAATCCACTATTAAATACTCACTGCAGCAGGTGCCACACAAAAACCAAAGCTGACAAGTTGCATTTTTCAAAAACTGATAATGAAAATTCAGGTTCATGGCGGGGGGGGGGGGGGGGAGATTTAAAAGCATTTTAATTGACTTTTCTATTAATAAAGTTATTAATGGGAAAATTAACACTGCTTTCAAGTTATTGAAATATTACTATCCTTAGCTTGAGAATCCATAGCATGAAAATACCTTTCAGATCCTTTACTTTGAATTTATGGAGTGTTTTTGAGTTTATGAAGTGTGTTCAAGTGTTAGCTCATGTGACCCACCCCTGGGCGTTGGAATGGTTTCCCATCCCACTTTACAGAGGGCTCCTGAGCCTGGGAGAGAAGTGGCGGCCACACTGAGTCAGCGCCCAGGCCAGACTGGGTTCTTCTCGATGCAGCGTGTGCTCAGGGCCTGGTCCTGCTCTGGGGGGCGCAGACACCGCACCCTCCTCCCGCTATTGGAGCGCAGCAGCCAGGCCAGGGGGCAGTTCTGCTCCAGAGGCTCCCTCCGTGATGTGGTGACCTTGGTAGAGTCACTGCTCTGCTGTGTGCCATTTGTGTCCCCCCTCCCCGCCCTCACTGTTGGCACTATCCTCCTCTCAGGGACAGCCATTGCTCGGGAGGGGCGGGGGCACTTAGCATCTGACCAGGAAGCGTAGCTTCACACATAATCATCTTTCTGTTCTCCTGACAGGAGAGATGTTTCTTTCACATCCCCTCCTCTCTAGCAAATGGTGTCCAGCTCTCCTGAGGTCAGTTAGTTGAGGCATGCGATGGCATGTTTTGAGTGTCACTTTGTGCCCATTCACTAAAGATTTGTCAGTGAATGAAGCAGCAGTTCTGTCCTTAAGGGCCTTGTATTATAGTGGTAATTAAGAGATAATGATTTAAAACATTTACATTTTAAATGATATATAGGATAATTTCAGGGTGCCTCATACTACCCGGGCTACTTTTATCCAGCTTGCTGCCTCTTTTGTAAAAACAATGCCCAGCCACACTCATTGGTTTATCTGTGTTTTCTGGCTGCTTTTTGCTACAAGAGCGGGTTGATGAATGACAACAGAGACTGTGTGCTCCTAAAATATGCGCACTCTGGCTTTAAGAGGGAATTGGCTGATTCTCCTCAGCACCTTGCCAGCCATTGTGCACGAAGGTGTGGTTCCACTTCGGAGCTGGAAAATACAGCTGGTTTAAGGAGCCAGCAGAGAGGACAGGCCGTTGGAGTGGGCAGTGTCTGTGCTGTGGTGTGGGAATGCCATGTGAGTCAAGGTAGAGGCGATGAAGTTTCTTAGCTTTGAGATGGGAAGCCTACTTGCTTTCAGCGGAGCGCTTATTCTTGGTGTTTTCTAGTGAATGTGAATGGTGCATAGCGGTTTTAAAAATGGTGCACTAATGATAAAGTAATAACGCTATGTACAGTGTACCCCTGAAGACACTGCGGTTTCAGACACCCCAATGAAGCAGGTATTGCCCAAACAGGTGACATCTGTGACCCCAGTGAAGGGGGCGCAGTAAGACATGTGTGCCCTGAAGTAGCGGTCGCCAGCCTTTCGGACCTCGCGGACCACCAGTGGCCCGGGGACCACCGATCAGTGGCGACCGCTGCCCTACAGCCTGGTGTCCCTTTAAATCAGATAATGGTAGCTGCCTGTTTCCGAGTCTCACTCTTCAGAAGTACTCATTACTAAGAGCTGTTAAAAGATGGGTTTTCCCCTCTGTCTAATAGTCTCTTCTACCAATACTTTAAAAAAAATCTGTATTTCTGATCATGCTCCTTTCCGTTGTGACCCTTGTTTGACTTGGTCCCTCACAACGCTAAGGTTAGGGATTGAACAACAGTTGATTATTTGTCATGATTTATTCTGGAAAAAATTTGTATACTACATTTCTTTGAATTCAAATATTGAACAAAGGAGGGAAATACATATAAAATAGGGATAATTTAATTTGACGATTCATGTCAGTTTTATCACCCCTACCTCTACTTTTTTGTAGCTATTCTCTAAGGAAAAGTCTACCCTTTCAAAACCCACAGCACACTTCTTAACTGTTGGGAGGTCATTTTCTATCAGTCCAGATCTTTACTAATGATAAGTGGCATACATCTGATCAGTGTGTTCACACTGGGAATAACAGTTCTTGTAAAGTATTTACTAACCTTTTAGGGTTGATATTACTTTCTGTATTCATTGAGGTAGGCTAACTGGTATAACGAAACATTCCCAACATTTTAGTGGTTTAAATTAGAAGTTCATTTCGTGCTCATGTGACAGCCCAATGACTGTTATACCCGGACTAACTGCTCTACACGGACAGTTACTTATTCCAGGACCAGACGGGGCATTTTCCCGATTTTCCATTCACACGTGTCCAGAGGTCTTCGGCATTCAGCATCGCATTGGCAAAGAGCAGGGAGGGTTCCTCAGGGAGAGTGGTATGGGGCAGGCTGGCAGCACCGCACATACTTGTTGGCACTCCAGTGGCCAGATCTTAATCGCAGGCCTGCTGGTGGTAAGCCTGGGAACGACTGGCTGTCTCAGCCGGGAGAGAAGTGCCTCTGGCTAATTAGCAGTCCTGCCGTGTGGCCAACAGCCGCCACACACACCAGGAAGACATTGATTTATTCTGAGTTATTTCTTTTGTTGCTCCTTTTCTCATCCCCCCATGTTTCTGTACGTTACCCCCTCTCCTGTGATCTTGTTGTTTTTGCGGGGGTAAGGGTTGGGGGCGTTGGGAGTGATGGCCCTCATTGTTCATTTATGTGTGATAGTTGAGGTTTTTGTGTGCAGACAACAGAAACTCATTCTTGGCTAAGTTGGGCAGAAAAATGAGTTTAATTGAAGGCTGCAAGTTAGCTCACAGAATTGATTGGAAGGCTGGAGATGGTGCTAGAAAATGAAGTGGGACCAAAGTGGCGGGCAGCAGAGGCTCCAGCAGGGGGAAGCCAGAGCTCCCGCCGGGTTCGAGGGCCCCTCCTGGGTGTGCTGCGGAACGTCACCCTTCCTCACCCCAGCACGTGGGCTCGCACTGTTCCCGCACCTCCGAGATCATACACGCTGAGCAGCAACACCTGCCTGTTCAAAACCCTAGTTACTGAGGAGTAAGGAAGAGTGATTTTTTGTTGTTGTTGTCACTCTGGCTTTTATAGTAGAGGGCATGGCTTTTTTTTTTTTTTTTTTGTCTTTCATGATTTCCCCAAACCTAAATGCGTGTCCAGAGATACCAAGTGACCAAAAAATGACAAACAGCTACTGTAGGACCTTTTTAGCAGATGAAAGGTCCCATGTGAGATAGAAAGCTGTGTTTCCGTCTTGATTTTTTTGCCACCGACCTTTTCGGACAAGTGATTCAACCTCTCTGGGTTGCTGCTGTCCCTCTGAAATTGAGGTGGGGAACTTGATGTCTGTTAATATCTGCTCATGTGCTCACTCACTGAGTAAATATTTATTGAGTGCTTTTGTGCTGCTGTAAAGAGCTTAGTAAAGAGCTGTGCAGTGGGTGAGAGGAATGCAAGCGGCTCCTGAGGAGGAGCTCATTCAGACTAGGTCTGGGTGAGAGTGCTGTGGGCAGGATCCAGGAATCCCTCTGCTTCATTCACCCATTCATTCATTCATTCACCCACCCATTCATTCACTTGTTGTCTGCTGGAAGCCTTTGCATTTGTAGTTAGGAGAATATACAAACAAGTAAAAGATCAGTCCTTCCCTCAATTCCAACTCACTATTCTAAGCTCTCAGTAGGCACCTGTGACTAGTGCCATCAGGTCTCAGGCATAGCAGTGGTTTCCTAGTGACTTGAAAAAAGAACGGCCAGCCGAAACTGGTTTGGCTCAGTGGTAGAGCGTCGGTCTGCGGACTGAAAGGTCCCAGGTTCGATTCCAGTCAAGGGCATGTACGTTGGTTGCGGGCACATCCCCAGTAGGGGGTGTGCAAGAGGCAGCTGGTCGGTGTTTCTCTCTCATGGACATTTCTAGCTCTCTATCTCCCTTCCTCTCTGTAAAAAAAAAAAAAAAAAAAAAAAAATAAAAGAACGGCTCAAAGCATTATGTTGTTCACATGAAATTAATATAACGCTATATGTCACTTATACCTCAACTAAAAACATTTCTTGTAAGAGAAAGTTTACTTAGAAAACCAGAGAGGTAGAAGAAGTGAAGGGAGAAGAAATGGGCTGAGGGTTCCAGAGACGGCAGGAGGGCCCTGGCGCTCAGGGCAGAGGGAGGTAAAGAAACATGCCTGGTGGGGAAGAAGGGGGGAGAGGAGAGGAAAGATAGGGTGCTCCCTCCTAGGGAGCACATTTTTCTCTTTTTAAAGTAAGATGTCTTTTAGGAGGCAGGTGGAGAGAATTGTTGTTGGCGTGTGTCACTCACCTAGAAAAATAAGTACTTCTGTGTTAAAAACAATTGAATATGATTTTTAGCTTTGTGATTATATTTGGAATTTTACAAAATTACATATCGTACACATCAAAAGACAGTAGATTATTTTCCCAAATTATCCCTCAGTCCTTAATATACATATTGGAGTCCTTACGCAGTCTTTTATGTAGTGTCTCAAGTTACTGTCAGTCACTTTACCCGGAGTAACTGAGTCTTTGAGGACGATCATGGGCAGGAGGACCCCTTAGAGTAGGAGCTTGGGGCGCGGTGGCAGTCCCTCGGGGTGATGGGTTTGTACAGAGAAATTGTTTGAAATTACGACCTCACATTTTTAGGTATTAATGTTGTAAATAAAACTTTTACAGACTTATTTATTTATTTATTTTTTTAAGTATTGTAGTCATGAATATACCCATGGGATTCATGGAAAACATCAGCTCCAATATTAACTTATTTTTATATCATTGTTACTTGAGATAAAATACCCAGTTACAGTGTCATACAGGCATTCGAAAGTGTTGTATCTGAAAAGATTTAGAAGTTACTATTATGTGCTCTGCTGCTGGCAGAGGCGCGCGTTGAAGGAAGTAGACTTTGGCTGTGTTGAGCGGAGTGCCTCATATAGAATGGAGCGAGAAATGTAACATCGAGCTAGTTAGGAAACGTGCGGTCTCTGCTCGGGAGCCAGCCTTCTGATCCTGGTTGTGGTATTGTCGGGCAGATATGATGTCAGGGAACGCACTTCTAGCTGCTAGATGGGATGTGCCCTTTTCATGAATCACTCCAGAAAGCCAATTAGATCTTCAGACAAAGTGATTCTGTCCAGTTTAAAGTGACGGTGGATATGGTTAATCAGGGTTCAACTTCTCTTCCGCCTGGGAATGCGGAGCAGTTAGTTACACCGGTCAAACAGAGGCTCCGCACAGTGCTTTGCGATGAGGGAGCAGGGGAGTGGGTATATGTCATTACACGTGGTGCTCCCTGTGTGTACTGAGGGGACCTTGGGGAAGGCAGCATGCTCTCCCCGGTGCCATGTGCTACCTTCAAGCCTCGCCCAGAGGCTTCCTAGCGGATCTTGCCTCCGCACACCCTTTCCTCCTCCTGGGTCGTCCGCCTGTCCTTTCTGCTTTCGGCCACGGTTCAGTTCTCATACACTGGAAATGAGAACTGCTGAGCTGTACTCGCAGGCAGCCTTGGAAGTTCAGGTCATCACGCATTTCAGGAGAGAGCACTCAGCTCTGCCCTCTGGCTCATGCCGCCCTGTTCTCCAGGCACCGGCTCCAGATTCCGAGTCAGTTTGAGTCCCGGTCGCCCTCAGCTTTCATATTTACACAAGTTCTAAGTCCGGTTAGCTTGCTCACGGTGTGTTTCCTTCTCTTTCTCAGCGTTGGCCTCTGGAAGGCTCGCTCCTTTGCTTGGACTGTTGACATAGGCCCCTAATTGATCATGCTTGTGCTTCTGTTCCAACCTCATTACATGTCAGGTCCATCTTTGGCCTGATTCTTTCTCCAGAGCGGGGCAGACCTGAGTGTTTGTAATTGTGTTGCTAGAGATTGAGGATATTGTATAACACTTTGGACAGTAACGTTTTCCAGACTATTTTCATTTGGTAGAGAACTGAGATGCAAATTTTAACCACTTTTGCACAGTAGGTATGGAAGAAGGGAAACTAATTCTGAGTTCTGAAATGATGTGTCTGTTTGCCATATAAATATACTTTTAAGGAAGGGTATTTATATTATTAAATTTTATAACTTCTCTTGAAGAGTTAAAATTTGCTTAATGCTTAACTTCAAAGTGTCTGGCCAGGTGAATACCTTGTCTTTTGGGCATTCTGTAATGGAAAATCCCTGTAAATATACTGCTTTTAATTGGAATCACAAAGTCAAGTGATTGCCTCATTGGGTAATTTTAAGTATTATGCTGCAACTCAATATAGGTACCCAAGTACTTAACTGGATTTAAATATATCTTGTATGTTTAACAGCTGTCTCACCAGAACTAGGAATGACTGAGGAGTATGTGTATGGTTCTGCTCTTTGCCTGGGGTAGAGGGAAAAGGTTTTTGTTTGTTTGTTTGTTTGTTTGTTTGTTTTTAATGTTGGGCTAAACTGAGAGCAAGCAGCACCTGACCTACAATTGAATGGTCACCTTAATAGCAGAAAGCCCCGCCCCAAGCATAGAAAGTAAGGTCTCAGCGCTTCTTGGCACCTTGTTTGCTACTAAATGGGGAAATTTTTTATTTAAATGGCTTCAGTAATGATTAAACATTTCTTTTATTAGGGACACTATAAAAAAGATTTTCCACTTGAAGTTTTCATGACTACTCATAACCCATGACATATCAGGTAGTATTATCTGCTTTACTTATTTTTACTAATTAAAAATTGTTTAAAAATTTTAGAATGTTGAGGAAGATAATAAATTTATCCATATTACATGCTATACTGTGTAAAGTATAATAATTTGTAGAATCTAGCAGCTATATCTTGGGTGACTGTTTTAGTCTTTTTTGTGTGTTCCAGATACTATGACTAAAAATAAGTTCTTGACCTCTGATGCCAGCTGTAAGACTTTGGTTTGTCTTTTATGATGGAAGGGGTTAGGGACTCATTTCTTGGAGTTGCGGAGAATAGTATAGCACCTCACACAGAACGGGTGCTTGTTAAACAGCGTGACTAAGTGTGTGCACATGCACGCTGGTCCCAAAGTATCAACATGTTCTTTTTAGTTCCCAAGGACAGTTAGTGCTCTACTTGGTCTCCTCTAGTGGCTTGTTAGTTGGTCTGTTCCTACCATCCACCTACCTACCTACCTACCTGCCTACCTGCCTACCTATCATCTATCATCTGTATCTATCATTATCAATCATATCTATCAACCTGTCATCTGTATCTATCTCTCATTATCAATCTACCATCTGTATCTATCGTTATCTATCATATCTATCAATCTGTCATCTATATCTATCTCTCATTATCTATCAATCTACCATCTGCATCTATCGTTGTCTATCTAATCTTAGTGGTTGCTTGAGGGCTTATTCCAGGCATCCTTAAGTTCTACTGTGAAGTATTTTCATTTTACCTCTCTGGTTGTCACATGTTTTACTTTTGTATGTTATAAACTTTACAATACAATGTTACATTTGCTTTAAGTAGTTATGAAAAATATCGACAAGCCGAAACCAGTTTGGCTCAGTGGATAGAGCTTCGGTCTGCGGACTGAAGGGTCCCAGGTTCATTGGTTGCGGGGACATCCCGGGTAGGGGGTGTGTGCAAGAGGCAGCTGGTCAATGTTTCTCTCTCATCGACGTTTCTAGCTCTCTATCTCTGTCCCTTCCTTTCTATAAGAAAAATCAATAAAAATATATTAAAAAAAACCAAAAATATCTACAAGATAACTTTTTCTTTTTTATTATTTATCTACATATTTACCATTTCTGGTGGTCATTATTCCTTTGTGTAGATCTCAGTTTCTATCTCAAATCATCTTCCTTCTCTAAACTGTAAACATTTTCTGAGTATGCTGTTGACAAATTTTTGCACTTTCATTTGTCTTAAAAAGTGTTTTCCTTCATTTTTGAAGGATGTTTTAACTGGATAGAGAATTGTCGGTGACAGGTCTTTCCCCTATCATCTGAAAGCCGGCACTGTAGTGTGTGTGTGTGTGTGTGTGTGTGTGTGTGTGTGTGTGTGGTTTCTTACCAGAAGTCAGTGGTTCCCTGTATGTCATCGGGTACTTTCCCCCCTCTGGCTGCTTGTACAGTGTTTTTCTTTAGTGCTGGTTTTCAGTGATCTGGCTGACTGCCTCATTGTGAGTGTGATTGAGTGTGTGCGTGCGTGCGTGTGTGTGTACACTCAAGTATTCTGTAGTGACATGTATTGGCCCCTAACTAGAAGCTAACAAGAAATCAGTTCCTATGTCCTTATCATTAGATAATTCACATTTATTTAAAACCGGTGGAGCCACGCACTGGGCTGTGTGGTCGGGATATAAAAGTGAGTGAGGGAGGCTGTTCAGCAGTAGCTCTAGCCAGTGCTATGATTAGACTTCTTTATTTCTGGCTCATGAGCCTCATTTTAAAATATTTCTTTCATCCTTACCACCTTCAGCTCACTCCCCTTCTTTCTCAACAGCTTCTTCACATTCTAAATATTACTGATGGGCTCAGTGTATTGTTTCATTGAATAAATATTTATTGAATGCAGGGCATTTGCAGGCACTGTTTTTGGTACTGATTAATGATATCATGAGGAACAAAATTTAGTCATTGACTTAAATTCAGTTCCCCTCTACTGTGTACCTTTATTTTCAGAACATTCAAGGTACAATTGCATGTTCCTTTAAGACTTGTTCTGTTTCATTAAGAGTATGTCTTGTTGCAGGTGGCTTTCCACATAAGCTTGTCCCCCACCACCCTCCTCCATTTCTTAGGGGATTCGGTCCCAGAAGCTTGACCTCATAAAAGTTTCCATATTTTGGATGCCATAGTTTTAATTAACTTGAATTATTTTTCTTTTTCTTGTTCTTTTTCTCTAAATCCAATGTGGGTTAATACTGTCACAAGGATGGTCCCCTGTCAACATATTAATAACTAAAAGAAATTCAAGTTGCCTCTAAGTGGAGTTACATGTGGGGTTAACCAGACCAAGACAGTTATTTCACTCGGGTCTTCCCTAGGCTTTTCTAGTTAACAGTTCCTCCATGTCCACTACTGTGTTTGAGTCTTATTTACCACCTTCCACTCTGAGATCTGTTCATGAAATGAAATGGTTCTCTGTGGAATCATTGCTCATCTCTATTAATGGTATGGTCTTTACTTATTATAGTTTCTTTAGTAAACTATTTACCAACACAATTAAAACACACACACGTTTATTGATTTTAGGGGGGGGAGGAGAAACATTACTGATGAGAGAGAATCATTGATTGCTGCCTCCTGCATGACCCTTACTGGAGATTGAGCCTTTAGCCTAGGCATATGCCCTTGATCAGAATCGAACTTGGGACCCTTCAGTCCTTAGGCCGATGCTCTATCCACTGAGCCAAACCAGCCAGGGCCCACAACAATTTTTACGGACTTTTAAAAAGTTACAGAAATATTCTCGTAAAACAGGTCCATACAGGATATGAAAAAGGAGGACCCACATGCATATCCTTTTTTCCAGCATGCCTTTTGTACTGTTTGGCACCACTTTAAAGTATTATTTTGGAATTGAACTCCAAGTAATGATTTTGAAGAACATTTTGAATTAAACATTATAAGTTTATTATTAAATTACAATATAATGATATTGCTACATGTATTGTGATATATTCTCGGGTTAAGTAAAATATTATTAGTTCTGATGAGCTAGTTTTAAGTTTAGTTGAATAAGACTTGCATATAATATGGTAAATAGCAGGTTAAACCATATAAAATTGTAATTTCATAGGCCAAAGTAGTTCTAATATCAGCACTTTCAACCTAATACTTTACTGTCATCATCCCTATTATTGGATGAACTGAGTTATTTTTTCTTATTAACATTTGAATTAAAAGGGAAGATGGAAACTTTAGGAAGAATACAAATCATGGTGATTTGCTTAATTAATAAAATTAGGTTGACAAATTTCCATATTAGTTTGTTTTAGACTCTTATCTAAAGAGGGAGTCATACCACAAGTGAAAAACATAGTTATTTCTTGTTAACCCATATTCAGATTATCTAAAGCAAATTTGAAAAAGAAAAATTTCCTTTTCATTTGGCATATCAGCCTTATGCGCGGGGATGTGCATTAGTTTTGAAAAACATAGCACAAGCCTTGAGTCTAGGTTGGTAATCTATTGGGAGGAAAAGCACTGTAGTGTATGATTTGGTCAGAATACAGCATATCTTTGGGTTGTCTGTTACTTGTATTCGCTGGAAAGTGGCATTCTTTTATTAAGGGGAGCCGTTGGATTGTTGTTTAGGTGCTACTCAAAGCATCGTTGGTATCCTCTGGTGGCTGTTAGAAATGTAGATTCAAGCCCTGCCTTCGATCTCCTGCAGCAGAATCTCCACTTTTAACAAGATCGAAAGGAGATTTGTGAGTACATTAAAGTTTGAGGAGAGCTGTTAGAGATCATGAATGTCATTGGCACCCCAATAAACAGTGTCATAGTACCACCACAGTAAAAGCTTGTTGAATTTAATGCACGTAGTTGACTGGATCTAGGCTCAGAACATGAAGTATTTTAGGAGGATAGTAATCCTATATAATAAAAAGCTAATATGCAAATAGATCGAGTGGTGGAACAACCAAACAACTGGTCACTATGACATGCGCTGACCACCAGGGGCTGTGTTTGGAACATGGAAGGCATTGGCCATGGCGGGATGGTGGAGCAGGTGAGCGGGGCTGTCAGACCAAGGTGGGGTGCTGTCATTGGGGTGCGAGCCTCTGGTGGTTACTGAAAATTCTTTGCTCCTGCGTGCGGTCCTGCTCGGCTTTCACCAACTGCCAGCACTGGCCTTGCTCACACCTGCAGCCAACTCCAGAGCTGACGCTCACACCTGCTGTCGGTACCCACTGCCGGTCCTGGTCACTCAGCACTATCAGCGGGTGCAAGCAGCTGCTGCTGGCCCTGATTGCCCCTGAGGGCTTCTCCACCTCCCCCTGCTACCGAGGGGTGATTGAAGCAGCAGCCACCACTCACACCTGCTGCTGGTGCCTGCCCCAATCACTCCGCACTGTCAGCAGGTGTGATCGGGCGGGTCAGTGCGTGGGAGCAGTGCCAGCAGGAACAGGGCTGCTGGTAGACGGGGACAGGGGCCAAGGCAGGAGAGGCAGGGCAGGGTTGTGGAGGATGGGTAGAGACCCACCCTTTTGCCTGCCTCAGCCTCACAGCCTACAGTACCTTTCAAGATGCACAATTTGTGCACTGGGTCCCTAGTAACAATAATAATCAAGCAGCAGCTAACCATTTCTTTGTAATTCTTTGACAGCTATGTGGATGTCAAAAAGTTATCCATCTGTCCCTTTAAATGTATCTTGAGTCTGATTCTAATCATGCTGAATGGTTTGGTTGAGTAGAGGTCTTGTGATTGTGTGTGTGTGTGTGTGTGTGTGTGTGTGTGTGTGTGTAACATACAAGTCAACAATGGTTTTACAAATTAAAGAAGTCATTAGAGTTTGATGAGTTGATGATAATAAAGAGGGAATGTGCTAATCATACCCTCACAAAGATGGCCACACCCACAGCCACGAGATGGCGGTGCCCAGTTCCCTAAGTTCTACTGGGGCGGCAGGTGCGTGGCACGACCAGGCTTGCCCTCAGGTGGGTCCAGCTGCTCTGTGCACCTGTCTCTGGAGTCCCCCAGTCCCTTCAGCCCTTAGCCGCCCAGGGCTGTCCGAGGCTCAGGTAACAGGGCCAGCTGAGGTTTGCACTGCTGGCAGTGGCAGCAGCAGCAGAGCTGTGATGGGGGCGCCGTCTTCCCCTGATCGTCAGTTCACCTGAGGGTTCCTGGACTGTGAAGGGGGGCAGGCTGGGCTGAGGGGGGACACCCCCCCCCATTGCATGAATTTTTATGCATTGGGCCTCTAATGTATAAAATACTAAAAATAATGTAATTTGTATTCTGGAGGGGGTTAAAACCAGTCTAGTAGAAAATAAGACAGGAACATACAAAAGTTATTAGTGTTCATATATAAGTTAAATAGAACTACGTGTTGTTTACAAGAGACAAACAAACCTAAACTATAAGGAGATAGAAAGGTTGAAAGTAAGATATAACATGCAAAGATTAATAGAAAATTTGGTGTAGCTATACTACCGTATTTTTCGGACCATAAGTCGCTCCGGACCATAAGACGCACCAGTTTTTAGAAAAGGGAAATGAAGAAAAAAAGATTCTGAAACAAATAGTGTCCTAAAATATTTTATGTGCATTAAAACCCAACATCACAGTCATAAACACATGTAATCAACCCTGTAAAGTAAACAGCAGCATTTAGAACCATTTTAGAGCCGGGCAAGCACACAGAGACCACACAGAGCCGGGCAAGTAAAAAAACTTTTTTTAAAGTATATGTGTAGGCTATATTTGGACCATAAGACGCAGGGACTTTCCCCCCCCACTTCTGGGAGGAAAAAAGTGCGTCTTATGGTTCGAAAAATACGGTAATTTCAGACAGTAAAAAGCATTATTGGAAATAGAGAAGAGCAGTTTGTAATGATAAAAGATTTTAGTCATCAGAAAGGTATAACTCTAAATGTATGTAATCTAATAATTGAAATGGCAGATTTATAATACACCTCTCTTGCTAACTGATAGAACAAGATGAGAGCAGAAATAGAAGCAACATATAAGAGAGGGTAATTAATAAACCTTTCATTAGACATATCACAAAGAAAGAGAAGGTCTCATTAACTAATCTTGAGTTGAAAGGGATATCACTACTATTATACCTTCTTAGATCAAAATGCTTGTGAAAAGATACTATGGAGAACTTGATGGTAGTATATTTGAAATTTAGATGAAGTTGACATACTATTAAAAAATTCAATTTACTAAAATAGGCATCAGGAAATACAAAATCTAAATAGTTCTATTATATAAATATAACTTTTAATTGAAAAATCTACAAAGAAAACTCTAGGTCCAGATGGTTTCACTAGTAAATCTACCACAAAAGGTTAACCAGGAATCCATTGGTAGTTCAACATTCACAACTCAGCCAATGTTTTTCATCACATTAGCAGTAAATCTGAAAACTTAAGTCATTTCATTGGATGCTGAAAAACATTTTATGAACTTCATTATCCGTTTGTGGGGAACAGGTTTTAGCAAACTAGGACTACCAGTAGAAGGGAACATCATTACTCTGCAAATGGTTATCAATTAAAAACCTATAGCAACCACTGTACTGGACAACTGTTGAAAGCTTTCTTTCTGAGATTGGGAAAGAGACAGTGGTGCTTATCTCTTCTTCTAATCACTGTTCTATGGTCCCAGCAAATGGAACGAGGGAAAAGGAGGAATAAGGATTGGGGAAGAAAAAATAAAATTGTTTAAAGTGCCCAGTAGCTACTGATTGATAGTGCAGATCAGCCCATCATTGCAGAAAATCTGATGAACAGTACTGTTCAATAGAGACAATGCAAGTGCAACCAAAATCCCAACATGGGTTCATTTGTTTTTAGTGAATTTGATGAGATAATTCTAAAACATATATAGACATGCAAAGGGATAAGAATAGCTAAAACATTCTTAAAGGATAAAGTTCTCTACTAAATATTAAAACTTGTAAAGCGATCATTAGACAATGTCTGGTTTTTGTATAAATAAAGATCTAAGAAATCTAGTTAAGTCTGTATCCAGCAAAACAGAATAGAGAATTCAGAAACAGATACAAGTTTGTATGGGCATGTGATTTATGACAAAGATGGCATTGCAGAGCAGTGAGAAAGTTTGTCTTTTTAATCATTGCTTTGGGGTCAATTGGATATTTAATTTTGGGGGAAATAAAATTTAAGAGCGTTGCCCATCCAGATGTGAATGGTAAAATCTGACTTGTAAAAGAAAACAATTTTTTCATAACTTTGGCATAAGGAAAGATTTAATCAGACACCAAAAGTACTAATTCTAAAGCAAAAGTGATAAGAGATTGTGTTAATTAAAAAACACCATTAAGAGAATGATGATGCAGATCATCTCTAAGCAATAAGATTCTCACATCTAACATGTTTAAAAATAGATACTTTTTAACTTTGAAATTTTATGAAAAAGCTTTTTGATAGAAAAATGGAAAAGAAAGTCTTAATAGGCATTTCACATAAATGGATATCCAAATAAAGGATGGTCATATTCGCTAGACAAATACAAGTTAAAATCACAGTGGTCACTACACATCTCCTATAATGACTGAAATTAGAAAGTCTGATGATTCAAGTATTGGTGTAGGAATGGAGCAGAGGGAATTTTCATAAACTGCTAGTGGAAAACATTGAATTTTTTAAAAACGGGGGGGGGTGTGTGGAATGCTAACTCTGAAGTGGAAATAATCCAAATGTCAATCAAAAGTAGAATGAATAAACAAATTGTCATATATTTATATAATTGGATACTATAAAGTAATGATAATGAACAAACCAGCCTATAAACATATCATTAAGTATAGAGACCAATTTATATAAAGTTAAAACAAATCTGGTTTTGAGATCACATACTAACTTTTGGGGAAGAGGGAATTTGGATTGATTCGGAAGGGCCATTGAATAGTGTGGGGAGGAATTTCAAGGATGATGGTCATTCTTTTTTTCTTGACACACAAGCTCAATTGATGATAATTGTTTGTTACATACTAATGACTTTTGTACCTTTTCTGCATCTATATCTATCTATCTATAATAACTTATGTCAATAAGAAGGTAATATGCTCATTGGATTGGGTCAACTGGACATCTTCCGGACCTCCAACTTCCTTCTGGACAAAGCCATGGTGGCAGGGACTGAGGCAGAGGTGGTTAGGGCGATCAGGCTGTCGAGGGTGCAAGCAGTAAGGGGGTGATCAGGCTGGCAGGGGAGGGCAGTTGGGGGTGATCAGGCTGGCAGGCAGAGGCAGTTTGGAGTAGGTAGGCAGTCAGGCGAGTGGTTGGGAGCCATTGGGTCCTGGACTGTGAGAAGGATGTCTGACTGCCAGCTTAGGTCCTATCTTCAGGATCGGACCTAAACCAGCATTCGGATTTCCTCCAAGAGGTCTTGGATTAGGAAAGGTATAGGCCGGATTGAGGGACACACCCCCCTTGCATGAATTTTGTGCGCTGGGCCTCTAGTATATATATAAAAGCCTAAGCCGCCTCTACAACTGAATGACTAAAACAACTGGTTGATGCTCAGTGCAGGAGCTGCCCCCTGGTGGTCATTGCCCTCCCATAGCCAACCTCTCACCCCCCCAGCTGGCGGCTAGCAGGCCCCAGCCAGCCAATAGGCCCTGATCACCAGCCAGGCCTAGGGACCTTACCCATGCACAAATTTCATTCACCGGGCCTCTAGTCCTGTATAATAAAAGCCTAATAAGCAAATTGTTTGATTGGGAATTCAACTGCTTGCCATGACATCGCTGACCACCAGGGGGTGATGCGGAACATGCTGACAGCACTGGTAGCAGGCAGCAGTGTAGGTGCTACTAGCCCCAATGGGCCCCACTGAGAGCGCCTTTACCACATCTCTCTGTGGGGACTTGGGCGCCATGACTCAGGTGGAGGGGGTTGCATGAGGGTCTGGGGGCCCAGATGCTGCCCAGTGCCCAGAGGTCAGCTGGACACTGTCCTTCCAAGCCAGATGCTTGCGCTTTGATCGCCAGCCAGGCCTAGGGACCGCACCAGTGCACGAATTTCATGCACTGGGTTTCTAATATTATAAACTAGAGGCCTGGTGCATGAATTTCTGCACGGTTCAAGTCCAGTGGTCTGCCCCAATGGGGGCCATTGGGTGCACTGGCCTGCGGACGGTTGGTCCCTGATCAGGGTGGGAGGCAGTTGGCAGTGGGGCTGGCCCAGGGGAGGGACTTTGGGCAGTTGGACAGCCAGCCCTGCCCACAATCGGGGTGTTGAGATCTGATTGGGGGCCTGGCCAGCCAGGGGCCGGGGGGCGGGTGGGTAGAGGAGGCATGGTATCAGATCAGGCTGGTTGGCTGCTCCAGTGCGCATCATAGCCACTGGTCATTCAGTTGTTCTGGTCGCTGGGCTTTCTATATGTAGATAAGTTTATGGCATATAGTAATGGCATGGATAATGGAAACAGAGTAATATTTTAAACAGCACTTTTTATATACCAGTTTCTATTCTGCATGTCTACTTGTGTCCATTTAAACTTCATAACCTCAGGGATTAGGGTTAGTGTCATAATACATCTGCTTCATAGATAGGGAAACTAAGACACTGAGTGGTTCAGTTAGTCACCATTCAGGGCCTCAGTTTCTTTACTGTTTACTTATAAGAGCTATTTGTGTCTCTTTCCATTTTTTTTTTACAATGCAGACTTAAAGCTTCCTTTCCTCCCATTATTTAACATGGAGGTTTCCAGGTTTTGCTATTATTAAACAGTGCTAAGAAAACATTTTTCCTAACTGTCTTTGTGCACATCATCAATTACTTCTTCAGGATAAATTGCTCGGTGTTTTTTTTTGGTGTGTTTTTTGTGTGTGTGTGTGTGTGTGTGTGTGTGTGTGTGTGTGTAACTGAGCAAAGTTGCTCCCATAATTATATTGAGTATTTTTTATAATGAGTAATGAAATGTTTAGAAAAGTTATCTCGTCTGTCATCACAGTTCCTTTGCCATCTTAGGTATTCAGAAGATATCTGTTGTGTACTGTGGGTCAGCCACGCCCCTGATGCTGAGTGAGGGAGACAAGCTAAGGTCTCAAAGCAATGCCGAGGCAAGTGGTAGGCAAGTTAACGGTGGAAGGTTGAGATTTGCATTTTAGGAAGTCACCAGTCATGTTATTGAAGAAATGACAATTTGCAGATGGGCATAGTAAAGACGAGTAAGTGCTAGGAATCTATTTAGTCTTCCAGGCGAGGCCTAGGAAACAGAGATGAGGGAGAGGTGTGGACGGCCTCTGAGAGGTGCTGTTGGATGGTCTGTGCAGGTGGAGGCAGCAAGCATGGCGGCTGTTCGCCTGAGGTGGCCCCTGGGGAAGACTCCAGACTGCAGAGCTTGGAGCCTAGTGGACTGGGTGGGAGACAGGTCACCCCCTGGGAGAGGAAGTAGGAGTGAAACCTGCGCTTGGGGAAGACCAAGCTTTGTTTTCCTCGGTCAGTAGTGCCTGTGTGGCATTCATGCAGAGATTGAAGGCTGCACTGGAAGGGGCACTGTGTCATCCTTTACTGTATGCACTGTAACTGCAGCTGATACTGAGCCATTCCCTAATTGCCAGAGCTGGTCTAAGTACTTCATGTGTGTAAAACACTTAGCCTTCACCACAGCCTTTTGAGGCAGATACTGTCATATCAGGAAGTAAGGGGTATAGGTGTCTCATTTAACCTTCACAACACACCTAAGGCAATAGGTGAATGGGGAGCTGACGTTTCAGACTGCGTGGCTGAGAGCCGTGCTCATTGCTCTTGGGCCATTGGTGGGGTGAGTGTGAGGAAGAGCAGGCTTCAGGCAGTACCCTGCTGCTGGGCAGTGCTGACACGGTGGGCGATGGCTATTTATTCAGGGAGACAAGCTCAAGTGTGCCGGTGCAGAGTTTGCTGACCAGGGTTCACCTTTGCTTTAGGCTTTAGTCTGTGATAGCCAGTTTGGATGAATATAAGAAGGTCTTTTCCTTCTTGAAGGAAGAATTAACTTTTATTTGTTAGCTGCCTATACTTTTAGAGACCCAAAGTGTTTATCATTCATTTCTTCAGTAAGAGTCATGATCATGGGTGTCCCAGCCTCCCTGCGGAGAATTACTGGTCACTCAGTCTTGTGATGAGGTTGCCAGGCCCAGGTTCTCTTAAGAAGAGTCCAGAGAAAGCAGCGTCTTGTGGATTCGTTTGTGTGTGTCATGTTCAGCCTTTAATTCCCTGTGTCGGTGGTGAGCACCATTAGAACAGACCTTTCGGCGGGTTTGGGCTAATGGAGATGTGGCTCGCCATGCCCCTGGCAGGTGCAAAGCCGTGTCTTAGCCATGTTCTGCTGAATTGGCTTCTCAGGGTCCCAGTCCATTGGAGAGCCACTTGACACGATTTACATAATTCATGGTTCTCAGTTGATGAAAATCTCATATATGAAAATAAATATTAAAGATTATCCTTATTGCTTTATAAAAAGGAACTATTTAAGATTTTTCTCTTAATACAGATTTATAAATATTCATTTGATCACTATATTTTATCTTTTAACATAAAGCTGTTGTGTTGGTGACATATTGTTTGTAGTTCTAGAGGTGTTTAATGTCATTGAACACCCTAAGGTACTCATTTAAAGAAATACCAGATAGGCCCGAGGATGCCAGCACCAGCTCCGAGTACATCCTGTGACCAGCCCTCCCTTGTCTTCTCGCAGGAGGAGAGACTTCAGCATGCAAACCTTCATCTGTTCGGCTTGCACCGTCATTTTCATTCCATGCTGCTGGCCTTCAGATGGCTGGACAGATGCCCCATTCACATCAGTACAGTGACCGTCGCCAGCCAAACATAAGTGACCAGCAGGTTTCTGCCTTATCTTATTCTGACCAGATTCAGCAACCTCTCACTAACCAGGTAAGTTCACAACATATCAAAACAATTTGTTGGAATGGTAGTTTATTCCTTAAAATGGTAAATAGGCAAAATGCTTTAATGATTTTCAGTTTTACATGTCAAGTGGGATTCTGGATTGACATAGTATGATGTTAAGTTTGCATTTAAAGATGGTTTTTTTTCTTCTATTTCACTTAAAACACACAATGTAATCACATAATCTTATTCTATGACAAGGAAGGAAAAATATTTTCCTAAAGAATATTAAACTGAAAGCTTATTTTTTTTGTTTTGTTAATTCTCTCATGAGGATATTTTTCCCATTGCTTTTCAGAGAGAGAGTGAGGGGTAGGGAGAGAGAAACATCGATGTGTGAGAGACACAGTGACTAGTTGCCTCCTGCATGTGCCCCACTGAGGGTGGGGAGTGAACCCGTAACCCAGGTACTTGCCCTTGTCCGGGAATCAAGCCCTCAACCCTCTGTGCTCGGGCCGATGCTTTAACTATGGAGTAACTTTGGCCAGGGCCCAAAAGCTTATTTGTATAGAAAAGGGTGGTTAAGTAGAAAAATGTAAATTATAGGAGGACAACTCAGAGTTCATTATAGCAAACTTACATAGCTGATTTTATGCTTTTACTAAAGGCCTGGTGCACAAAGTTCGTGCACATGTGGGGGCCCTCTGCCTCACTGGCGATCGGGGCTGATCAGGGCCATCTTGCCCAGTCCCGATCGGTCAGACCCCGGCAACAAGTTAACCTACCAGACGGAGCGCCTGCTCCCTCGTGGTCAGTGCACGTCATAGTGACTGATCAGTCAACCGCTTGGTCAGACTCTTAGCATATTAGCCTTTTATATAGAGAGAGATAAAAGCTACTTTTGTATGCATATATTTATAAAAATAAGGACAAAACTCCTTAAATTAAAACAAAAATATGTAATGCAAATTAATCATACTGTTCATTTTGATATTTAGACAGAGATTCAGTGTTTTTTCATAAAATACTTAGTGTAAAGAGAGTAAGTGCTGAAATCTCTGGATATAATACATACATATATGCATGTGTATGTGTATTTTTCATGATTTCCTGAGTTATCTTGCACACATTACATTGATTTTGCTTTTGCTTTGGGAGAAGTTTCGACTAGCTATAGTTTGGCAGTTTCTTTCCTCACTGGGATTGAGTCTATGATGAGTCTGAAAATGGCTGTTTTTCCATATACTTGGGTATTTGGTTTGCCACTGTTTTGTTTAGGTCTTTTAATATATCAAGCGAGGATAAAAAAACTTAGAAAACTTCAAAGTATTTCTCACACTGGATTATTTCAAAGTAATGTGTTTGGCTACAGTTAAATAATGTCATTATTAGGGGACAATATTGTATGTATTATAATAAGATTTTGTCACTAGTTGAGCTTGCTTTTTATTTATGAAGTGTGCATGTGTACTATGAATTATGGCAGGACTTAAGAATTTTTTTATGCAGTATATTTATATTGAGAAGTTGGATGTTTGGAATTTGACCAGTCGGTCAGAATGTTCAAGTTTGGAAAGTGTTTAATTGTAAGCCAGAAGAAAATTCTCTGACATCCAAAAAGTAGTAATAGCACAATGATTCCATTGCATTGTACTTTTAATAAGCAAAGTAAAGTACAGTTTATTTTCCTCGTGTTCCACAGTAGCCTGTCCGGCAGGGTGCCTGTTTCTGTCTGTTTCATAGCTGATGGGACTGCCTCCCTCAGTGTGTGAGCACAGGACCCGGGGCCAGCCCAGGCATCTCTTGTCTCAGATACGGCGCTCTTTGCATTCCAGCACCCGGCAGTAGGAGGGCTGGGACAGATTCCAGTTCTTCCAGTTATTTTATGGTTCTTGTAAGGAGGTAATTTAGCAAAGTTCCTTTTTTTTTTTTTTTTTTAAATATATTTTATTGATTTTGTACAGAGAGGAAGGAGAGAGATAGTTAGAAACATCGATGAGAGAGAGTCATCGATCATCTGCCTCCTGCACACCCTCCACTGGGGATTTGCCCGCAACCAAGGTACACGCCCTTGATTGGAATCGTACCCGGGACCCTTCAGTCCCCAAGCCGACGCTCTATCCATTGA